AAAACAATAAATTTTTTTTTTTCATACGAAAAGGCTTATGCGACTTACATTCCAAGTAGAACGGAGTTGTCGAGATGAATTCGATAAATGATAAAGGACCCATACCAGGAAGTCTCAAGATACAATGACTAACAGTTCTTTGAGAAAATTAAGTAATAAAATCATGTCTAGAAACCTCTTGCTAGTTTAGTCTCTGACATTTCTAGGTTGAGCGGGCTTTGCCACTTGTCTGGCACGATGAAGTTACATTTTACTCATTGGTGCAAAACTATTGCAAGGTTATGTGGTTGCAAATACCTGATCATAGATCTGTAATAATTAAGATGTATATACATTCAACCCCTAAAAATATACAACTAACTTCATTAGTCCCAAAAATCATTCAATCGAAATTATATACGTTTTTGTCAATTATATCAATTAACATCAATACATATGTTCTGGGAGAAGTTTTCATGTCATATACAAATATTTGGCACTATCGCCATATTCGTTAGTGCCAATTTCGGGAGCAGACAAGGAAAGCAATCGGCATTTTACCAAAATTTTCTTCTGAATTCAAGACTCGAAAATTATGGTCATATAATTTTTGATCCGCAAGCCTTCTGTAAAGTTTGACGATTGAAGCGTTAACAAATTTTTCAAGCTGCCTTACTGTAGAAATGTTGGTGAAAGTACTTGAACGGACCGCACTGACCAAAAACTTCAACCTTTTCCAACACTATATTTACTAAGAGTTGAACACAATAAATTTATTGATTTGCGATCTCAAAATGCATATACTTTTGAGAGTAGGAATGGTTAACATAACGAAATTATACTTCCCTTTGCAGCCTGAAAATGAAGGTTCCGATGGTCCCGCTAAAACACACCGCGCTTTCACCATATTTTAAACCTCTTTCCTACTGCATATCTTCATAATAAAGTCGCATCTTTACTACCGGACTTTTTTTTTGTTTTGTTACTTCCTACGCCACTGAGGGTACTTTCATCTCGAAAAATATATAATTATAATAATCAAAAATATTTTTTTGATGTTATATGACATGTATATCATCAAAAAACCTGTCGCTCGTTTCTGTAAGTCCGTCGGTCTGTCTGTCGGTCTGTCCGGTAATTCATGGCCTCTCTATAACTTGAAAAATACTGTTCTGGTTTGGATAAAATTTTTACACAAGTTACTACTATGCCAAAAACTTTGTATTTTTTGAAGGTCGGTCCACCTCATTTTTTCACGTTCCAGAGGATCAGTTTTGAAAAAAAATTAGGAAAAAAATAAGGGGGTCAGGGTATGTAGGGGGGAAGGGGGAGGGGCGCAACCCAACTCTCCGCCATATTTTTCACATCGTCGGTTTTCCTATGCATTTGTATTTAAAACGAGATCGAGAAATGTTTTCAATACGCGTCTCTTCCTGCAATCTGGACTCAGCGCCCAGCGTAACGGTTGTTGTATTGCTCGTCCTGGGAAGGTGCAGGTTTGCCAGAAGAAAGACAACTACGGGTAGGATCATGAAATAATGATTATAGACCTGTTTAACTGCCTTGGTCCACTTGGTTTCTTATTTCTCAGAGGGCTTAACTTGTGATGAGCTTACTCCTTTATAAACTGATGATGGCGTGGTGTAAGACGTGCAGACTCTTCTCACAGACTAAGGTCGATCTATCCAAGAAAGAGATCAAATCAAATCAATAACCCGCTGTGATCAGTGCGTTGATATATTTGAAGAAACGGGGAGCATAGTTGTTATTGGGCAGAATCGATCGAGCCCATATACAGGGCCAATGCCAAACCAGGAAGTTGGAGTGGAAGACAACACGGCGGTGCACGCAGCCTTGCCAGCCGTTAACGTTACGAGGACTATGCGTGGCTATGTTTGGGTTTTGTTTCTTCCTTGGATAGATGCACTATAATATTTATCTCTAGAGGCAACCCATTGATAACCGTAAGATAATCTTATTATATAAGTGGTACTGTCACTAAGAACTCGCCTACCTTGTCTGATGTAGACACAAAGCACTATTCTAGTTCGTGAAGCTTGATCCTTTTCAATCATAGGAGAGCCTGTCCGCTACTTTCTTGATCTCGTCAACAATCAGATAATCGATAATATTTGAATTATTTCGATGCTCGAATACTTGGAACAGCCCCATTAACGACGGCAATAAAGCCATACAGGCCTGACCTGATTATAGATCATCTTTGTTATGCAGCAACAGCTTTGAGGATCTTCCTGTTTACCGATAATATTGCTTGTAGCAAGGTTCAATTCGTTCCTCTCTTTTTTGAAATGGTGCTTCCACTTAAACCTGGTTCAAGTGTCGTACCTGAGTATTCAATTTTTGGATACAACGGTTGGGTGGTTTTGTAAACGCTTATTAGAGAAGGACGTATCCCGAAGCCAATGTGGATCGATCTGAATTAATCCAGTTCGATTTTCCACCTCTGGGTCCGTTTCACTAAATTATTGGTAGCAGTCTATACTTTACTAGCAGACCTTAATAGATCGTTGTTAATATACAAATGTACACACAGAGTACCCGCAAATTGATGAATAATCTTACAACTGGATTGAGGTCACATCAGGAGCTACTGGTTGGTAAAATTTTGTTTGTACAGCAAAAATACCCAACTTTTTAAAGTAGTTGACACGGCGTTTCTAGCCCATTTTGTGTTGCTACGGGGTGTCAAATTTAAACGTAAACATTGAAATGTTGCATTGAAATAATTGTCTTGCAGATTTTTTCATAACATAGGAACAACTCTGATTTCGAGGAAACAATAAATGTAAATATTCTAAAACAAGCCTGGCTCAATACGATTTTTGCTTAAAAATTGATAACTGTATATCTGACACTTAGGGCCGTATCGTCAGTCATTCCTACAATTGTAGGACGCCTTTATCGCCTCCTTGAGGTCATGGTGTGATCTATTTCCAGTTACAGGGTTATCCTCCAAGTTCCGGACATCCTTTATTCTGCAAGGTTCAGGTGAATCCTTCATATTGACTCATTTTCAAATTTTGCTTAGATATTGTTGTTAAAAGAGCTGCCTAAATTTATTCACCCAGTTCTTGAAAATGCTGTATCTGCATTCTAAGTAAAACCACATCTTCAACATGTTTTCTTTATTGGACAGGGGTTATTAAGCAGAAATCATGTACTAGTTCCAGACGTTACATATGTATATACAAGTAAATCTGTCACAATAATAATCGTATAATGGATAAGTTTAAGCACCTGCTTGCATAGATCTAGTAACAAAACAAGTTGCCTACTTGGTACTTACTGGACGTTTTAAATAATTCAAATCGTCCATTATTATACCTTATACGGTGGACTCATTAAATTTCACTACAGGTAAAGTAGATGCCTCAGTATGTAACAAACATCTCATTCATTGTACTAAGAATAGATACCAACACACAACGATTTTCCTGCGAAATCTGATTCAGTGCAGTGTTGCCAATTTCGCCATCAAAAATGTAGCGTAGGCGAACTAAAAATTCAATCAAATACATAAACTTGATACCTACACCTTAATATAACCCTTACCAAGATTAAATTCAAGTGAATTGGGTAGATGAAAACGTTTTTGTTAAGATTAGCGGTAGACAATAGGCCAATAACTTTTCAATGATCTTTATTGATTGATCTTTATTAACTGTAACCAAAATTGATCGAGATGACGAAAAAAACCTTTTACTCAAATACGAAGGTACATGGAACTGCAAGGTTAAATTTTAGCTGTTGTTAGGCCCACATAGGTTTTTAAATCTAGTTAAAAGATACATCCAACTTCAAAAATAAATGATCTTTTGAAGTCACATTAACCAAAGAGACGTGGGAGGTATTTGTAGTTAGGGTTATTAGAGAAATGTCACAATCACAGATATCACATACCTAAACCTTATCTTTAATTTTGGAGACATGGGAGGTTTTCATAATTAGGCTTATTAGAGAAATATCACATACCTAATGTTATCTTCAATGCAAGTTTGACATTTATACAGATGCGACAACTCTGATTGGTAATAATTCAATAGTTTGATAATATTTGGAGGTTGATCAGTGAAATTTTGCGGAAAGCAATTTGATTCTACGATATTTCTCAGGAATACTACCAAAAACAAAAACAGGAAAAAACAAAAAAATATCTTTGAAAAATCGGTAAGCAAATTACGGTCAGGTATATTTGCATTCCTTTACTGTTTTTTAAATTTGCTGAAACTAGTTAGGTTGAAATTTACAAAAGCAATGAGCCTATCCTGTAAGAAGGATAACCAAACATAAATCATATTTGTTGACAATACCAAAGGTGACTTTAATCACAGCTCATACGTCTAAAATGACAAAAAGACCCCTTCGTCTTCTGCCTTATAACTGCTCTACGTCCCTGCTATGTGCAGATAGATGTCGCACCACTATCACTGTAGTGTAAAGTATTCACAAAGCAATCAGGAAAGGCATTCTCTGCATTTCCGCATAAATAGATACATGCTGAATAAAATATGTTTGCATTTCGTCTCTATATCCATGATCAACCATAGACAGCGAGAGTTTTTCAAAGCCGTATTGGTGATTAGATCAACCTCAATGGTACTTCATATATTCTGACAGAATTTTGAGCCCTTGAAAAATAAGATGAAAATGGTATGGATATGTCAGTTCATAACGACCTCGAAATGATCGCCTCGGTTATTATTCAGGTCGCTGCGCTCCTTTTGATCTTCTATTTTTTGTATAAGCTTCAACTCATAAAAGCGCAAGGTTGCCAAGCTTATAGGGTCCATTTACACTTGAGGCGTTGTTTCTCGAGCAATCAATTTGACCACTTCTGGTCCCCTTATCCTGTGAAAAATTTGTCATTGTCAATGTGTTCTTTGAACAAATGCCATATGATAATGGCAGATTTCCACCGATGGCTTTGTTCCATCCTGATTCCTGAGAACTTTTTAAAATTTGTATCGGATTCTTATAATGACCTCCATATTTCTTTCCAGATACTTCATAATTTGTAGAATCATCGAAGATTTGGCAGCGTCGCAGGTGGCGATGAATGGATTCCGGGATGCATTGATGGAAAAGGTGGTAGACAAGGACGGAGATACCGCTACGATCAATAGAGTATAGGGAGCCAGACGCACGAAGGAGCATTGGTGGCTTTAGGAAAAATGGTGAGCTACGGATTGGTAGTTTGAGCTAAAAATATATGATCAAAGCAACGGTGTAAAGTGGAGCCGATTGATGTACCATAAGCATGTACCGATCTGAATAAATAGTCATGCTAACAGCGTACATAGTGATATACTTAGTCATCAGCTAAATTAGTATATTCATCTTGGGCTAAGCCAAATAAAGTACTATCCCACAAGTCTGGTCGCAAAAAAAAATATTAAAGAAAAGTACAGTAGGAACTTTGGCGAGTGAAACAATTATAACTGGTCTCTCATAAAAGCGGCACTTCCTCACCTCATTTTGACCATATTCGATGATAAATTCCTTCCGAGGTGAATATTTATGTAGGTATATTTAGCTTTTCCAGGTCAAAATTAGTGCATCTGCATTGCCAAATGTTATCCTACAAGTTTAATTTTCATTGTTTATACTCAGCTTACCGCGGTCCAACTACTATACAGTGACACCGACTCACTGATTTATTTTATCTAAACTTTCGGACGCTGACTCTGTGGATCTGTGGTATAAAGGGTCAACCTTATAAATATGTACATACTCTTTAATTTGGAAAGTTTTTGTTGTTGTTGAAAAGGCCGAAATGTTTAGAAGAGGGTTAATCAAGACAGGTTATCGACAGACAAGTCAACTAGCTTAACGAGTAAAATAAACATTATGGCATACAAACTGGTGGCAGACTATAAATAGCCAATGAAAAACATGTTTACGAAATAACATCCCCCTAGATAAGTAAATATTTTTGTCTCAACGGTCACTTGTTATTTTGAAGAACGTTAAACCACGTCAATGTTAATTGAACTATATCTTAATACAAAGCGTGGAGCTGAAAAAAAATTGATAAAAATGCCGTCAAGGGTTTTTTGTAATACGATAAATAGTTGCACTATACACAAAAAAGCCTACTCATGGTCCTCAGATCATAGAAATGTAGAATTTTTATCGTAAGAGATACAGATGCTAATTGGTACATTTTAAATTCGTCTTATTTTATTATAGGTGGTTGAGATGGCATCAGAAGAACGATGGGGAAGAAGTGTAGCTCTTGAGCAGGCATATGTACATGACGTTTATGAACAGTTTGCTGATGCTGAAGGTCCTGCTTCTAATCCTTGGCCAAAGGTTGAGACATTCCTCGACGATTTAGAACCTGGATCTATTATCTGTGATGTTGGTGGGTAAAAAGCTATTTGATAGATTCATTGGGAATTATACGGTTTACTTACCGTTTTGCGGCATAACCTACATTCTGATTTTGCATCGTTGAGAAATATATTTCCAACATATTCGAAAACGTCACAATGCGGTTACATGGATTATTTTCATCGGAACTAACTTTCCTTAATGCTACAATTCTGAATAGTTTTGCACATTTTTTGGTTCCATAATATATTTTGTACTTGATGTCGATGTGAATGAATGTTCAGAAAATATATTTTTATACTTTTATCGTACGGAATGTAATATATTTGCAATGAAAAGATATATCACTTAGTCATTATATTAATTTGTTATTTTCAGGCTGTGGTAACGGAAAATACCTCAATGTTAATAACACGATATTCAACATAGGAGGAGAAAAATCTAATCGGTTTTGTCGTATAGTCAGAGAAAAGAATATAGAGGTAAGTGTAAATTGAATAAGCATGACGTTCTCACAATGACTCAGCGCTAAAACTCGATGACGCCATCCGCTGCAAATTCATAACAGAGTATTAGTAACCAGCGATTTACCGCTATACCGCCAGACTCCTATGGCGTTGCCAGCAGTGGTGCATTCATGCCTTATAATGTAAATATTAATCAAAATGAACTCTGCAAAGTTATACAGCGGCTTAATAACAGAAAACTCACAATGAACTGAAAAACACATTTTTTATCATTCACAGGAGTATCCATCCATCCATCGAACTACTTATCATATCTACATTCTGTTTAAGACTAATGATAAATATTTAGAAATTTTCCTAGATCCCCCTTGAGATGGGACATGAATTTTGCTTATTCTGTGCTCTCAAGAAAGGTCCTCTTCTGATATTTTGAATGTGTCAAGAAATTTGACGTGATGAAGTTGACGCATACATTTTGGGGCATAAATAACAGTTGGCCGCCATTTTGTAGCTTTTTCTCAAATACAATTAGAAATCATGTAATCTCTTATTTCGGAGATCATTGTTAGTACTTTATAATCCTAGAATATAAAATCACTAAATTGGGAAAATGGTGAACTGGAAAGATCAATCTTCTTCTTTTCTAAGTGCCTATCTAAATGTGCAATAGAATATGAGACATTCAAACAAAAAATGATTTGGTCAATTTTCCAAAAGGAATTTTCCATACTTTTCGCGTACTATAACTTTCACAGACTGCCATTTCGCCATTTTCAAAAAGGGTGAATTTATATTCTAGGGTTATTGAGATGCCCATTTAAAAAATAAGTAAAAGGTATCTTTTTTGGAAATCACTGTACGCATATTTGAGGAAATCAGTTTCACAGCATATAAAATAAAATTTCATGTAGGTGTATTAAATGAAAATTAGACAAGTAGATAGGTGTGTACAGTATATCAGGCTTTAAATCTAGCCGCACATAACATGTGGTATAAAGGTAAGGAGTGACGCATGCTCAACTTACATGAACGACTAGGACATGCTTCAAACAATAATTTCGAAATTAATTTTTGATAAACCAAAATTAAACCCAACTAATGTTTGCACAATGAAGCACAATTGTATTATACCAAGTTTATTTTTTACATAGAATCACCCACTATCACAAAATAATCAGTGAATGTGACATAATTCAGCATTGTCATAATACGTGGCATAAATTACACGCAAAAATGCTTCTAAAAGAATTAATGAAAAGATCTCACTTGAATTTTCATGGCCAGATTTAATGACTATTTGCAGAGCGAGAATTACAAAACACGCTTAGTTTCAAAAGGAATTTATATAATGGATAAATACACTAGGAAGAAACAATATTCATGAAATAATCTTAAACAATATACTCTAAATATTATCATGCAATATAATCTTATTATTTTATTGACTGCAATTCAATATAGAATTGATTCATGAACAGTAAGTGTCCTTCTATACGTAAATCATGTTTCTACTATAGAAGAATATAAAGAATACTTTTTTAAGGTAACCTTACGTTATTAAACTGACCCTTGCTTGTGGATTTGTGCTAATATCGTTTTTCTGTGATTTCGTATGTTATTTTTCATAGAAATCGAAACTTGCGTCTAAGATCGAGTATGTATCTGTAACAAATGCCGAAGCTTACAAATCGAAACATGTTCAGTGTACGGCTCGCACGTTCTGTTACACCTGGATACGCTGTAAGGAGTCCATGCACGTTGCGACACATTATTACCAAATTGTGTTTATTATACAAAATACCCGACAGTTCCTTTTAGCATATGCTTTAATAAACTCATCAACTTTGTTTCCAAATGTTTAGGTAGTAGCAATGGACGCTCTCCAACTACCCTTCAGAGACGACAGCCTAGATGCAGTAGTTTGTGTTGCGGTAGTCCATCATCTAGCGACGACCGAACGACGAGTCAGAGCTCTTAGGGAATTGGCTCGGGTCCTCAGGGTGGGGGGAAGGGTTATAGTGACGGTGTGGGCGATGGAAAGAGCCGCGGACAGTGGAGGCAGCAAGAAGAGAAGATTTAGGTCACAAGATGTCTTGGTGCCTTGCAGAGGTCCCCCGTGGGATGCAAGGGATGCGCCGATCTGCTGTGAGGAGAAAAGGCAGCATAAGAAGAGAGGGAGGTAAGAGGATAGAATATAATGCTGGGTACGTCATTTAAGGATACTCGTGTATATTAATGAATGTCCGATACTAGTTGAAGGATGCAAATCGTGACGTCTAAAATAAATCATATTGTGATGATGTAGCAGGCACATCTAGACGTTAAAACAAACTTTGACTTTATGGATGATTCCACAAATGGACCACTTTAACATAATGTCTCGTATACGATATTTGTTGTCAAACACCCCACAACATGCCAAAGCTAAGGATGACATAGCGAAACTATTTATTTGAACAGCCCTGTATCAAAGAATGGATCCAATAGAGTCAATTTTCATTGACTTTGCCTGATAGATCTGACTGAATTTGAGCAATAGCCTGAGTTATTTTAGCTTTGAATTCATCGATTGTAGCTTAATAACAAATATCTTCAACTTCAGAAAGCCTCTCAATGAAAAGTCCAGTAAGATCAAATCACACGATCTTGGTAGCCAATTCGCGTAACTTTTGCGAAAGGTGACCCTACCTCCAACGGGTTTACGCAGAATGTCAGTTATGGTATAGCGTCGTTTTACTATGACCACACGACAGCTATGTCCTTATTGCTGGTTACTATTAAACTGCTGGATGTTGTTTGTGCGAAGACTATGTCAACAAGACAAAATCTGCCGATGTAAACAAAACTTAGGCCATTGCTCAAAATTGTGACAGGTCGGTTGTTTCACGCTGAAATATTTCAGCATTTTGAGTTGCTAATTCCTTCATTTTTTCTAGATCAACTGAAAGATTAAAAAGATTTGTTCGCTGTGAAATTATCCATTAGATTAAGTTCACTTTGTACATGTCTTCCACCTTAGTGCGCATACTTACGTTGCGGCAGATCACACCGTAAACATATTTGGAGCCCTCTTTCGCAAAAATGGCATTTTGTCCAGTAAATTATGCAATTTTACTCATACCACATCTGTTTACAATCGTTACCATCATGTTACCAGGTTACAAGTGTAGCCCTAAGGCCGACCCCTTTTTTCCTGTGATTCTTGTACATATACTGCTGGATTTTTCTTAGGAACAACAAAGGAATTCTATATCAAAAATGCTGAAATGCTTTAGCTTGAGATAACCGACCTGCCATAATTTTAACATGAACATTTTAGCTGCGTAAGACTGGGTAAATACTGAGATACATAACCAGTTCTTCTAGATCAAAAATTTAAAATCGGTTAAAAAACAGCAGATTCAATAAATAAACGGCAGGTGTTAATATGTATTACATAAGACCTGTGTAAAGAGCCTTGTGAAGAAAGCGAAAGCGGTAAATTGAAATATGAAGAGTGGGGAGTTTTACAAAAGTTAAGAAGAGAGAACTGTCCAGCCCCAAGATGTAGCTGCTATATTTCATTATAAAAGTGGTAGGTTTAGATGTTTAGCAGGGGGTATATGAGCAGCAAGCTTCTGCAGTAAAAAGCAGTAGAAGCTAAGCGTTGTATGATATAACGGTAGCCAAAGGCTCAAAACGGAAGATCTATCTTGAAAATAGTCTGTCTGTACATGACCTTTCAAGCGCCATTTCAATATCGACCATTTCCATTGAAATACCTTTCATAATCTTTAGGAATAGCAATGATTTGTTCTTGAATATCCATCCACACTGTAGCTATATGTATGGCCTTTTTATATGGATACAGTCGCAATGATATAGATCTATAAAAACGTTTATCAAATGTAGTATGTATAAAAAGATTATTGATTTGAAGCTTCAGCCAAAAATTCTTCAATGACTCTTTTTTTAAACTGGAGGGCATAACTATAGTGCCCCTAAAAACTGTCGCCCTTCTCTCACTTGGTTTAATTGTAACTTAAAATAACTTACAGGAATTATACATTAAAGTAGTAAAGTATAGAGCTTATTCTAATTGATTCAACAACAAATACATCCCTGCAGGTTGAAATTACATTTGAAACAACTTGAGCAAAATGAAAATTGTTGGTGGTGCTATAGTCATGCTCTTCACTATGATCAGATGACTCACATTTTTTCATTGATCTTAAGGTATAGTTTTCATCTAATGGAGTGTCTTTTTCCAGATCTCAATCTCGCTCCAAGAAGTCGCGCCACAACAACAATAACAACAGCACATCCGCCATAAACCAGAACATCCGATACGATTCAGGATCTCCAAGTAGTTCAAGCCTGAGTAGTCCCAACGAAACATGCTACAGTTTTGTAAGAAGAGCAATTCAGAAACTAGCGGGAGGCGGGGGAGGCAGTAAAGGAAGTAGAGGAGGAAGACCTTGGCATTTGCTGGATAGCTGGACAGTTTGTGCTAAGGAAGCTTCTCATAGGAATAGATGTGACGAATCTGGTGAGTCACGCAGTGAATTTTAATAGCCGCCTTTTCTTCCTTCTTCTTTCTACTGGTCAACATTATCAGACATTTTGTAATTATTCTTAAAGTATTATTGCTTATATTTCAATACCTACTTACCTTTTTTTTTATATCGAAACAGCCGCGCAGGCAGAAGCCTAAATGCCGGAACACCGCGGCTGCTATGATGATCCCAAAGAAATTTTGTTAATACGATTTTTGAACTGCCTCAGGTTAGTAGAACTGGGAAAAGCTTCCTCCCGTAGATTGTTCCACAGTCTAGACACCCGCGGGACAAAGGAGCGGTCGTATCGGCCAGTTCTGGATGTACGAAGTTTGACACGGTTAGGATGGGACGCCGAAGTCAGGCGGGTCTGTCTGGCAGGCACATCGCGCGGCGTCATCATGGAGGACAGCTCTGAGGAGCAAAGCCCGTTGGTGTAGCGATAGAAAAGAGCTAGATCGCCGACGACCCGCCGGTGCGAAAGAGTCCCGAGACTGTCTGTTAGAGAAGAGTCATCGATCAGTCGGACCGCCCTCCTCTGGACAGCATCGAGCATGGACAATGTAGTCGGGGCGGCAGCACCCCAAATGTGTGAGCAATACTCGAGGCTGGGCCTTATCTGGGCCTTGTATAGAGTGAGAAGGTCATGCGGAGAAAAGTACTTCTTAGCCCTAAACAAATAGCCTAGCTTTTTCCCAGCAGCTGCAGCTATTGAAGAGATGTGTTCGTGCCAGATCAGGTCCTCGGTGATCTGGACTCCGACCAGCCGAAATGACTGGCTCTTTGGTAGAACTCGACCGTCCATCGAAACTGTATGAGCGCTAGGACGCTTTTTGTTCGTCAAAGTACAGTACTGTGTTTTGGAAGCATTGAACTGTACAAGATTGTTGCGTCCCCAAGCAGTGATAGCCTCCAGGTCTCTTGTCAGAGAAGAAGTCGCCGCTAGTCTTCTTTTTTCCAGCTCAGCGGCAGAGATCGGCTTGTCACTCTGAATTCCTGCATGTAGAGTGCTGTCATCAGCGAAGCTGTGGATTGGGTTGATCGTGCAGGAAAGGAGGTCGTTAATATGTAAGAGAAACAGTGTTGGAGCCAAGACCGATCCCTGGGGAACACCCGCGTTGACGTTGTGGGATGAAGACGAGAATCCGTCAATTACGACGGATATCTTGCGGCCAGAGATAAAGTCAGCCACCCATCTGCAAAGCTTTTCTGGGAGGCCGTAGGATGGAAGTTTGCTCAAGAGGGCAGCGTGCCACAGCTGATCGAACGCTTTCGTGATGTCAAGAGTAACGACATGAGCCTCACCATGAGACTGGATGAGTTTACTCCACAGTTGCGTGACATAAGCTAGGAGGTCCCCTGTGGATCGTTGGTGCCGGAAACCGTACTCCTGTCGCTAATCAAGCTGTGACGTTCGAGGTAGTCCAGAAGCTCGCGATTTATGCACCTCTCCATCACTTTACTTATAACAGAAAGCAGAGCTATAGGCCTGTAGTTGTAAGGGTCGGTCTCAGATCCTTTTTTTTGGGATGGGCTGTACATGAGCAAATTTCCAGTTTTCTGGGAAGGTGCCGGATTCATAAGATATCTGGAAGAGGCGCGAAAGAACTGGAGCAAGTTCCGCTGCACATCTCTTCAGTACAATGGCAGGAATCAAGTCCGGACCAGAAGCTTTGTTGATGTCTTACGGTCTTATGCCTAAATGTTACCTCCCGCATAGTGTGGGGAACCCTTTGAATTGACGGCACTTGGGCGTTGGTGGGGACGTCCATGGTGGAGTTGGCAGCAAAGATCTTGGCTAGCACTTCCGCCTTGGCCTTTGAGTCGAATACAATAGTTCCATCCTGACACGTAAGCGGTGGAAGGCTACTGTGTGAGAAGTTCTTTTCAATCTGCTTGGCCAGCGTCCAGAAAGACCGACCGCCATTGCGCTGCGACATTACCCTGTGCCTAACTTTTATATCATGCTGGTTTTTGGCATTGCGAACCGCTTCGTTATATTTGTTTCTGGACTCGACGTCGGCTTGTCTGTTCTCTACAGTGGGGTTTTGTAAGTAAGTTCTGTGGGCCTTGATCTTCTGCTGGCGAGCAGTGTCACACGATTTGTTGAACCAGCCGTTGGACCCTGGTTTAGGAACTTTCACTGTGTGAGGGATGTATTCCTCCATTCCGACGTGGATAATTTCGGTTATTGAAGAACAGACAGTCGACGCATCCGCGTCAGTGAAACAGACATCTCTCCAAGGAAAGCTAGAGAAGAAGTCTCTGAGCCCCTCCCAGTCGGCATGTCCGTAATGTCAAGTTTTGCGGCCTGTGCGAGTTTCTGCTGCCACAGCGGCTTCTGACCGAAACCTAATCTCCACAACACCGTGATCTGAGTTACCCAGGGGGGACAGGACAGCAGTGCTGTAAGGGGCAGGATGCGTGGTCAGAAAGAGATCCAGCAGGCTACTGGCGTGTGACGAGACGCGGGGGAAAAAGGTAGGGCTCGTCAACAGCTGGGTCAGCCCTTGAGTAAGAGCGAATGCTTCGACTGCACGACCTGCTGCATCGGTCTTATTTGAGCCCAACCAAAGCTCATTATGGGCATTGAAATCACCGAGAAGAACTACCTCTGAAGCAGGGGTGATCGTATTACCCCTAAATATCGCTTCAACCGCAAGTTCATTGTGGAGTACCCAACGAGGGAGGAGTGGGACGCCGGTAGCCGAGGACTCTCCGAAGTGAGCGGGCAGGTCTGGTACACGGACGGCTCGGTCACCGAAGAGGGCTCAGGTGCTGGGGTCTCTGGACCTAGAACTAGGCTATCTCTGCCTCTCGGTGAGTACACCACCATTTTCCAGGCGGAAATCTTTGCGATTCTGGCTTGTGTATCTCACATTCTGGAGGAGGGTGGGCCTAGGAGAAGAATAACAATCTTATCCGACAGCCAGGCTGCAATGAAAGCACTAAGTGCATGTAAGATTACTTCGAGTCTTGTATTGCAATGCAGGGAGGCTCTGGATTGCCTCGCAGCGAGGCATCCGGTATCGTTAATATGGGTACCGGGGCACGCTGGGATAAGGGGCAATGAGACGGCGGACACTCTGGCGAAAACAGGATCAGCCAGCAAGCTCGTTGGTCCTGAGCCAGCTCTAGGAGTAACCGCGCATAAAGCTAGGAGGAAAATGGAGACGTGGGTTGCAAGACAACACTCTCAGAAATGGAGAAGTATCTCTAGACATCTCCGCCAGGCACGAGAGCTCATTGAAGGGCCCAGTGCTAAGGATGGACGCTTCTGCCTATCTCTGGGTAGAGCCAACCTAAGGTTGCTGGTGGGACTGTTGTCTGGCCATAACACGTTAAGGCGGCACCTGCACGTGATGGGGGTGGCTGAGGATCCCTTGTGCGAACGCTGCGGAGTAGAGGAAGAGACCACGGCGCACGTTTTGTGTCGCTGTGAAGCTCTGAGCTACTATAGGCAGACTATACTGGGGTCCATTACTTTGGACCCTCAGGACGTAAAGGAGCTTGGACTCAAGGCGATTCTCAACTTCGCTAAAAGGGCGAGGCTTGTGATTTAAGTATTGTAGAGGTGCATAAGGGCCCGCTTAAGCGGCCTATGCACTGGCTCCTTATGGTGGCAGGGATGCCTCTAAAATTCAAGATTCATTCATTCACTCCATTCACCTCTGAAGCGGGGTGATTGATGTTCAGGAAGTCGATCTGGACGGCGAGGCATTCGAGTAGGTCATCCCAGTTATGGTTCGAGGGAGAGCGATAAAGGCAGCAAATAAATTTGGGTGATGTTTTGGAGTTGAGGCGAAGCCACAGAATGTCCTTCCGATCTGATTCCAAAGAAAGATCCCTGGAGCAGGAAAGACTGCTGCGGACAAAAGCCACAACTCCCCCGTTCTTTCTCAGATTGGAGTGCACCTCGTAGTTTGGGAAGTTGAGATGGTTAATCGGTGCAGTCTCTGAGATTTTTGTCTCCGCCAAGAAAAGCACGGCGGGACGATTGGATTGCAGGTAGTGATGAACAGCATCAATGTTGCTGTTGATCCCGCAGATGTTCGAAAAACAAATTTTATCTTCGACCTGCTACCTGCTATTTACTATACATATAACGATACGAATTCACTGATTCACTGGCTGACTGATTCTTCAGGACCATGGGTCTTGAGAGGTTTCTACAAAGTGTCGATATAATTTAATTCAAAGAGTATTTGCTGTTACAAATAACGGAAATATTTAGATGGAAGGAATAAGGAAGCAGGATTTTTATAACAAATGAGGTCACGTAGAACGGATATTCTGGCATACATATCGATAAAGGACTATAAATAACCATTGGGAAAACATGTTTACAAAACAACACCCTTTTAGATATACAAATATTTTTACCCAAAGAGTACTTATTTCAGAGAACGCCGAACCGCGTCTATGTTAATTTCCCTTTATGTATTTTGATTGATTACCTTAATTTTTTAATGATTTTCACTATGACTGTTAGAATATGTTATTGTCAACATTGTTTTACATACTTTTCCTACTATCTTCCTCATAGCACGAAAATAATAATAATATGTTTTTATTGAAGAATACATTACAATATATAATGCTCTTAAAAGAGTGAAAAAACTAATACCCACGAAGTGAATAAATCCACTTGTATAGTAAATAGAAACAAAAAATGTCTTCATACAGAACAAAGTACAAGAAAACTTGATAAAAACAACGAGGCTGAAACAGTAAGAATATAGAGAGCTAGAGTTCGGATCACGGAAACTATTGAGAAAAGGTGTAACTAACGACGATTAGAAAATAGACACTGAGAAATATCATAAGAACAGTAGTTAAAAGCAAAAATCCCACAGCTATTCAAGTAACCATTTTTTACATGCTTATTTAAATTAGTTATACAAAGCAATTTTCAGTTATGATCTACGTCATCATAAATTTTAACGGAGTTATATGTAAGAAAACATAGTATCTTACATGTCTTCTACGCGTAACCATTTTAGCTCACACATTTTTGGTGAAGTTGTATCATTCTTGTTTAGGTTATAAATAAACACAACTATTTTGAAACTTTTGTAACCTATTTTTAGCGTTCAGGCATGGATAGCAAAAGGCATTACAATAAGCAAAAATAACAAATATGAGAGATTCCCATAGTTTTAAAAGTCATAATATGTCTGTTTCAATAAATCTCTTCAAAATATAGTAGAATTTTTTCAGAGTGATTGAATTTGATTTCAAATTACTGTTATTAGAGAGAATTAGTATTTTGTGGAGATAATCAGTAAAATCCTGAGCTGCTTGTGTAACTTCAGATGGCGGGAAAGACTTAAATATTTCAAAAACATCAGCGTAAGATACAATTTATGAATGAGAAATGGAAAAATGGATATCTGACATATACACTAAAATAAGTATGGGGCCAAGAATGGAACCCTTTGGCATACCGGACGTAACGAAACATGGTTCAGATAATTTATGATTTACAGATACTACTTGCTGACGTCCTAACAGATGGATTCGAAAAAACTGTAAAGATATATAATTTCATACAAAGGAGTTCGTGATCTATAGTATCGGATGTCTTTGAGAAATCCAGTAGTACCATTGCGGAGACATTACCATTACCATATTTCCTGATGATATTATCTGATAGGTGCGCCAGTGCAATCACCGTAATGTCACCCTCATTGAACGCAGACTGATATTCAGGAAGTATATCATTTGCTAAGGGATATTCGCACATCTGATGTTTATAAATTTTGTGTACTAACTTTGCCAAAGCGTGAATTTGCGTGATAGATCGTAGTTCGGAGATGTTTGTGACTGTTTTAACTTCAGGTAATGGATCAATGAAACTTTTCAAGCATCTGGAAAACAACCAACCTCCAGGCAACAGTTTATCAAATGTTTGATTGGAAGCAAAATTGTTGGAAGGCAGTGTTTCAACATGATCGATGAAATACCGTCAATCCCAGCCGCATTTGAGCGTAGGGACATAACATTATCAAAGACACAATGTTCACTAACAGGCCTAAATTGAAATGATATATTTTCTTTAAATTTTACATGACGAATGCAATACAACGAGTCAGAGCAATTATTTGAAGAGGAGAACAAGGATCAAAAATAGCTATTAACATCATTGACATCTTTGAGATTTCAGTAATTTCAGTAGTATTTTATTTTGAAATGTTTGTTTGTCGAGGACTGATTAACATTATTCTTCTAGAGCGACACCCTAGCAAAGATTCTGCATATCGAAGCCTACTTATTTTAAAGCTCTGTAATTCCCATGAATACTAACAGTCTCAATCTTACCCCTGTATATCAAAGCCAGCTCTATTCAGATGCCTTAAAAGTTATTCGGCAGATTTTTATGAAACCATCTGTAGTGCCAGTACTACGGATTCTCCTTTTCGACAAATTTTGTACTAGATATCTGATTTTCTTCCAGGCTGTGAATGCAGTGAATGCGCCTTGGAGAGCACCCAAGACATCCCGATTGAACTACGGCGGATAGACGATGAAGAACCTCCACCTCAAAGAAGGCAGACCTTTCCTGCCTCTCAGTTAGCAGGCGATGTGGCGCATCTCAAGTCCAGGAGCATGCAGGAGATAGTCACCGATGATTTGGACCACAGAAAAGGAGGAGGAGGAACATGTGGGGGCCTGATTCAGTTCCAGGACGTGGATTCGATTTTTGTCAGGGAAGAAGGCCAAGTGTCAATTGTGGGAGAAAATCCTAGTGCTCAGGTACATCACAAACTTTATTTAGGGATATTCCATATTTCATGACTTGGATCAGCTCCTTAAAGATTGGATAGAGATATTAATAAGGAATTGACACACGCGCTCAAATAATACACTGCACCTTGATTATTTTTGAATACGCGATTCAAAATATAGAAAACAGTAAGCTTGTCAGGCTTCTTCAGTGACGTGAGGGACGCACTGTCTGTTTAGACGATCGCGCTTACATACCTTCATAGCTTCTATAAAGAACTCTTTCGTTTATCTTTGCTCTGATATTATGTCGTTCCACTAGGTAGGCGACTCAACTAAAAATATTGATAACAATCCAACTATGGCTATATTCATCGACTTACAAAAAGCACTATAGATCACGTGAAACTATCGAGTAAATTAAAACACATTGGAATTAGAGCGCCACTTGAATTATTTTAAAATTATTTGCATAACAGAAAATATACACGTTAGGTTAACATTGAAAATATAACTAGTGAAGAAATGACTGTAATGGATGGAGTTCCAGTTCCAGTTCCCTTCTTTTTAATATATATTCATCAACGACTTGTATAATCTATCAACAAAAAGTCAAAAAATATGATTTGCAGAGACCACCATCATCCATAAAGCTACAACTTGGACAACATTAAAAGAAGAAACTGAAATAGATTTAGTACAGATAACAAACTGGTTCGATAATCAATTATCAAATATTAATTATTAAAAAAACTACTTCACCTCTTACACAAATAAATCACCGCTATATAATTAGCTAAATATAAAGAAAACAAATTTCCAAAATGAATATATACAGTGATTTTCTTAAATATCCCCCTCCCCTTTGATTTTTTGAACGGATCAATTCAAAAAATTAAAACTTGAGGGAATGAAATTGATGCATAGATACCATATTTTAGAGTAAAATTGACAGATGAAAATGTCAAGATGGCCGCTGGGCGCCATCTTGGAAACAAAATTATATGTAAACGGGGGCCTTGTGGGACATCAGTTGGAAGCTCCTGACGAGTACTTTATAACCCTAGAATATAAAATATTACCTACTATAAATTGGTGACATATTTAATAATTACTTGAACACAAACCCACTAACATGCATATCTCTACAAATAATTGTATTTCCCTGCCGTATCCCCAACAACAGCGATAAAAACTTGTTTTGTTATTTTTTGTTGACAGTGACAAAAATATCAGTACGAAAACAAACAGTTAAAATATTCTTAATTAGTTTTCGGTATTAGTGCTAGATACTGTTTGAACTATTTTTAAAATGGTCAATTCTCGTCCATTGGAAGAAAAAATCGATTTTTATTTATGTGAGGTTTGTCCTTCTACTGTATGGAGATTTTTGAGAAAGTATAAGTATCACCCATACAAAATTCAAATGGTACATCAGCTAACTGAAGATGACACTGATCAAAGAACAGAATTCTGCGAGACGGAAACCATTGCATGGCATCGTAACTATATCCAAAATATTTGTTTTAGTAATGAATGTACAATTTTTCTCAACGGTAATGTGCATAGACAAAATTGTCGTTTTTGGAGTGACACCAATCCTCACGTCTACCGGGAAACTCATACTCAATATCCACAAAAAATTAACATTTGGGCTGGGATATTGGGAAATCATATCGTGAGGACTCTATTCATTGAACAAACTTTAACCGGGGAACTGTATTTGGATATGCTGGAAAGTACTATTGACCCTCCAATCACCGAAATCGTCGAAGCGAATCCTAGTGAATTCGATACTGATATCGTATTCCAGCACGATGGTGCTCCACCACACTACTACAGACAAGCTAGGAATTATTTAGATAACAATTTCCCCGGTCGTTGGATTTGCCGTCGAGGTCATGCGGAATGGCCAGCTCGCTCGCCAGATTTTACACCTTTAGACTTTTTTTATGGGGCTATTTAAAGCAAAAGGTATACGAAGCTGAACCTGCTTCAATAATAATAATATACGGCTGAAGATAACGAATATTTGTAGAAATATCGATGTTACTATGTTTGAAAATGTTCGACGCGAAATTACGGACCGGCTGTTATTGTGTCAAGAAGTTCAAGGCAGCCATTTCCCGCATCTTCTAAACTGAACTCAATGTATTTATTCGAATTATCAAGTTAAATGTCAATGTATTCAGGTAATTATTAAATATATCACTATTTTGTAGTAGGTAAAGGTATTGACTTTATATTATAGGGTTATAGAGTACTCGTCAGGAGCTTCAAAATGATGTGCCACAAGACATCAATTTCATCACCTCAAGTTTTAATGTTTTGAATTGATCCGTTCAAAAAATCAAAGGGGAGAGGTCATTAAAGATTAGCACTGTATAGGTATGTCACGTAGACTAAATCATAAATATCTCGGAATTCGTTTAGTGTGCCATCTTCGTTGGGATGAAGATATCCTACATATCAAAAATGAACTTGTTATATAAATGTTATATAAATTCAGATATTACAGACGAATTGTCAATAAAACTCAATTGAAAAATTTAAATCAAATATTAGCTGAATGCCAAATAACCTATGGAATTGTTATCTTTGGATCCACGACTAATAACCATCTAAATTCTTTACAAATAATACAAAAACTATTCATCAAAACATATTACAACAAACCTTTACTATATGCCTCCAAATTGCTGTTTATAGAATCAAAACTTTTAGATATATATTTATAAAAATTATGAATATAATACTAGAAATAAAAATAAACAAACAATTAGGCAACACCCAAGAAGGAAATAATGTTGAAATCTTCTATATACTGAGGTCCAAAATAATATCTTATTTGACCAAAATAAATTAGAAAAAACCGAATATCATTATTAAAAATAGATGCATACGAGTTGCTATTGAATACTGATATAAACATGATGTAATTTATAGTAAAGTAACATATAAATATCTTTCTTTCATTGCTAAGCTACGATACAAAATTAATGTACATGTTACATTTAATTATATATATTTTTTTAGTCCACTCAATTCATGGTAACTACTATGTTATATGTATATTGTGTCAGAATGATATTCACATACACGGATATTTTCCTTTTGTGATATATCAATTTATACACAATTTGTAATTGATGTGAATAAATTAGTATTATTATTATTTTTATTATTATTATTATTATTACTACTATAGGCACTTTTTCTTGGTCTCAATCTTTTATACACTACTAGATGCTTGTTTCCGACATGCTACAGAAAAGCGAGGATCTGAACCTATTAGGCAATTGGATACAAAAATGATTGTCAATACATATAAGGAATGACATTTTTAAACGAATTGGCGTTTTTATGTGCTTGTTTTCTTCTTGTAGATCGAAAATATAAATGAAGCCAAAAACGAACCTGTGATACAAAAGGATATCGATGAGACATCAGAAACGTCGGAATGTACAGAACAAAAAGAAAAACGAGTCAAACCGAAACTAGTGAAACAGAAAAAGTCAATAAACGAAGATGATGCCGACGAGGCGTTGGACCAACCTACCGATATGTTTAAGGTAGCCAACCTGCCTGATATCAAGTCTGCTTTAGGAAGGTATAACCGAGGTAAGCGCATATCAGAAAACGTTCATCTTAATCCAAAAAACTACCCCCATCCTTCTTGCTTCATAACCGTTTAATTTGATTCAGGTGGGGTATTAAAACAAAGGTCCCTGAATGAGGAGCTGATGTCGACAGAACGGTTACAAGAAAAGGAGCGACTGCGACAGAATATCCAGAAACAGGCATCACTGAACGAAGATTTGATTTGTCATCGATCAACAGCCTTCAAAGACACATTTAAGGAATCAGTGCTGTATGTGTCGACCACGAGGAAGTTTCAGTTGATCAAAACAGGCTTTGCGAATAAAATCAAGAACTCCACTACGAATATAAACATCGAGAAAGTCACGGGTGCCTCTCTTAAAAATGGTTAGTATATCAGTTTCAGTTCGACTATGAGGTAGTAGTACTAACGTAGAGACGGAGACATCCAAGTTGCATTGAAATGCAATAAAAGCTTTTATTTTATATAATTGTCATATGGTTTATTGCTGGAATAAAACCTCTTTGTATTCTTAGGTTTTGTGAAGATCTTCCAGAATTGGAAAGCATCAGAAATCATATCACCTTCAATACCAGAAAATACAACCTTAGATTGTAAATCTGTAGTTCCTCAGACTGATGATAAAAAAGACGGCAATGGTGGAAATGGTGAAAGGCGACATTCTAAAGAAGATGGTATGTATTTCATTAAAGTGACACTTATTCCAAAATTCCTGCTTTTGTTATGTTATTGTCTTACCTTGTTCATAGTCTACGTTTTTGCAATGACCTTAACGTATACTATATTATCTTCTATATCTTGTTGCAGGTTCAGATTCTTCAAAAGACAGCAGTCTTCAAAGTGACACGAGCGTGGATAGCGAGGATTCCTTCGCGTCAGTGATATTCGTCCCCAAATCGGACCCCATGTCCCCCACACCCCTGTCACCTGGAGTACCCACTTCCCCTCGAGTAAAAGGAAGCGGAACAGCGACTCAAAACAGTTGCAACTCACCAAGGATCAAGCAATCAAGTTGTCCAACAAGCCCTAGGATTAAACAGGTATTCATGTTAATTTGATTTCAATGAAGGAACCTTCTGATTAAAAGAAAAAACGCCGAGACACGTCAAAAGATTTGTCAAGGGGGACAACTTTTTAACCAAAAACTACTTCACAGCCTTCACCCTCTGCCTCCAGGGTCATCTCCTTAAAAATTATAAATGACGCCCCTTGTCATTCAAAATTTTGATACCTCTAATCGACTGATAGCTTGTTTGAAAGTTCTATCGAAGTCCTTTATTTTGACGTTTGATTTATTAAAATCGGTCGATTCGTTTTCAAGAAAATTAGAAAAATCTTTAGTTACTTTAATTTGTTCAGACAGAAAACAAAAACACAGGTTTCGATGATGCGTTGACAAAGTACATAAAAAATTTCAAGTCCCAAGGCCCCATAGGAAACTCATAGACTGGAAATATATTTCAGCCTCATCAAGTATAGGGTTTACATCTTCTTCGATTTGGTTTTCAATAGTTTTAGCGGATTGATGTTATTCTCCAGCATATCCAAATAAATGTCTTCATTCAAATTGCCATTAATAAACAATGGCACAATCACTTTGTATCCTAAAATGCCATAAATACATTAATTTTTTGGGGGTACTGGGTAAGTCCTTCTACAGCAGCAGGAGGATTTTAGTTGTGCCAATACTTGCAGTTACGCTTATTAACAAGTCTATTTAGATAAAATGTCATGTCATTTGTTTACAAAACTCAACTCGCCTATCGAACTCATCTTCAGTTAACTCTTGCAGTACTTTCATTTTGAATGGATGGAATTTATCGAGATTATTTAGTAACTGTGTGTACAGAGCCTTGCGTAAGGAAGTATTAGGATTTATTACAAAATGACCCAAATCTTCTTGAAAAACTCTCCGATGATCACGTTTTTTATTTGCAACAGATCCAGTTTGAGTAAATCTAGTAACAAGGTACAAAACATACCTATGCTATCTTCCCTGGATGTCTGGCGTTACACGTGACGGCAGTTTGCCGAGCACATTGATTTTGGGCACCATAAATTAGAAACATTTCCACTCTTTCGGCTAGCGTGTAAACCATTTTGGAAGTAAAATTTGAATCAATAAATTAATTATCACTATCCCAAGATTGTCACAAAGTTAACTGACAGCAAATTAAATTCTTTCTTTCCCTTAACAAATAACTAAGCAGGTATAGCAATAAATAGAGATATCTGTGTTGATGAAAAAAATGCTGAAAAAATTCGGGTTGTTATTTGGTTGTTGCCACGTCTAATCTTCCGAATTGCTGTTTATGTTGGTAGTTTCCGTTTTAAATTTTAAACACTTACTGAAATAAAAAGTGATATTTTCCTGTGCTTGTGTTTTCTATCTGAACAAATTAAGATAAATAAAGGTTCTAATTTTCTCGAAAACGAATCGACTGAGTTTATAAAATCAAATGTCAAAACAAAAGACTTTGAAAGGCCTTTCAGACAAGCTATTAATCGATACACTTGTCATTTAAAATTCTTATGTGAATGACCCTGGGGGCCGAGGGTGAAAGGGGGTGACGTAGCTTTTGGTTAAGAAATCTTTTGATGTGTCTCGGCGTTTTTTCTTTTAATCAGTGGTTTTCGATAAATCCGTGGTGGGAAGTTTTCAAATTAACACTAATGTTGTACATCTCAAGCATCACAGGATCCTGGAAATATGAATACTTGTCAATATTATATATTAGTATTTGTTGCCAAGCTGTCATTTATGGAAAAAATATGGAATTTCAGTAAATCACATATTGTCATATTTGTTTTGATGACACCAAATTGATCACGAGGAATGAATTTGAGATGCTTAGGCATACCGATACCTACTAAAACGAAAATCCATTATATCGAAGTACATTTTTTCTCTGCGAATAGCCAAGCATGTACTCACGCACAGCAAGTATTCTATTTGTGCTGATATGTGAATCGCTTGATTATTAATAATAAACAAGAATATACTGAATAAGACAAAGACATGAAAGTAAATATTCATTAACGGTACAGCATATGAACAATTTATTGTTAACGAAATTGCATTGCTATCGATTTCAAGGTTCAGTATTCAACTTATTACAAAATTATTTAATCAATAGAAGTCAAAGAACTAAAATTGGCAATACATTATCAAACATTAAAAACATTTCGGTAGGTGTGCCACAGGGTAGCAAATTAGGTCCATTACTATTTATTTTATATATTAACGATATTCCAGATATTTTACAACACTGCAAAATTCAACTATTTGCTGATGAAACATTAATATATATATATATATATATATTATATAATTAATATATATATATATATATATATATATATATATATCAAATAAAGACATTGAAACTGCAATAGACCTATTAAATATTGATATGAAGAATGTAATAAATTGGTTAAATGTAAATAAACTGAAACTAAACACAAACAAAACAAAATATATGGTAATAGGAAAATCTTTAGTTCAAAATACAACAAATCTTACAATTAATCATGAAACAGTTGTGTCAATCGAATCATTTAAATATTTGGGCGTATACGTAGACAGTAAATTAAATTTTGAAGGGCACTATGAATATATTATTTCAAAAATATGCAAGAAAATAAATTACCTTTACAGAATTTCGCATAGCCTAAACGTTTATTCTGAAAAAATTGTGTACAACACTATCATTCTTCCTCATTTGTTATGTTGTTTGACTATTTTGCTCACTGCAAATGAAACTGTATTTTCAAAATTACAAATATTACAAAATAAAGCTATGAGAATCATCTTAAATAAAAATAAATATACTAGAATAAATTTTATGCTGAAAGAACTACAATGGTTGAATATCAAAAATTTCATAGCCTACTTTCATTTTCATGTTCAAGTTGAAAAATCGTCTTCTACCAAATCACTCAGAAAATTTTATTGTATTGAACAATGAGTGCCACAATTATTCTACTAGAGGAAATATAGACTTTCATTTACAAAACTGCAGTAGCAATATAACAAGCAAGTCAGTATTTCAAAAGGGATTGACGAATTTAATAAATTAAGTTATGATATCAAGATGTGTATCAGTTTGAAAATGTTCAAAGGGAAATTGAAAAAATATCTCACGGAAAACCAGAATTCGTAGTAGTGAAATTTTGTACAAAAATATGTAGTCTTAAAAACATAATATATTTTGTGATATGCTGTGTAATATGGATATTACGGACATTGTAGCACTACTGCTAAATAAATCTGAAACAAACAAACAAACAAATTCGTGATGTTGGAAGGTGAAAAATAAGAAAAATTTTGCTCACCAAACAGCAACAATGTCAGAATACCTGATATTGGAAATAAAAGTTCACCTTACTGGAACTCTAGGTGGTTTTTCTGTATAGTTGTTGTGATGCGAGCAGATAGTATCCATCGCAACTTTGGGTTGTCTCCAATATTTTGATTTCTTTTCGGGGTTATGCTAGCAATAAAAGTTTCTTAATAGGAATTGAATGAATGAAAATGATGAGATGAGATAAAAGTCCAATGCCCTTTCGCAACAGATCTACTTGTCGTCAGTTTAAACTGGCTTTTACAATCCGCAGAAACTTTTAAAATCGCCTGAAACAGTAAGGAATGGTTGAAAATCCTCGTGCTTCTTATATGTTTTCGCAAAATAGTACGAATTTAATGCGAAATGTCAATAACGTTTAAGCTGGTGACTTACAGTATGTACTTGTATCCTGACTCCGTAATTCTAATTAAAAGCAAATCGTATGCTAGTCCTTTCTACCTAGTACGAATCCATTGGTCAGGTTAAAATGGTGTGGCTGCTACAAAGGCTTTAAGACTTTGTCACCTTACTCTACTTACTACCGTTTATGGGCTCGGTGGTAGGTGCGACGTCCATAAGATGCTGTACACAGTGAAGAAATTAGAACTGACATTACGCTTAAAACTCCAACTAAAGTAATTAACACACTGTTTTTACAGATGCCGCTAGCTGTGTATCCCCTCACCAAACAACTGAGTTCCCCTAAGCCCTCCACCGAGAGTTCTCAGGAAGTGAAAGATAGTCTAAGACGCCACCAGACTTTCCAGTCAAGTACGATTGTCCCCGCCAGCAAAAACCTATCGGAGAAATATGCTGTGCAGCAGATTCCTAAGTTTAGGAGGACCAGTCTCAATACGCCAAGTCTAAAAAGGTAAAAAATAGACGCTATTTTGCAATAATAACAGATTAAAGTTAGTGTATCCCCAGCTCTGCGGCACTAAAAAATATTAACCTTGCTATAATCCTTCTAGTACCTCCGCTTGAACCATCACTGCATTTTCCTTCTTTTAACAAAACATCGTTGCGTGAATCAACGTATACGTAAGAGACTCATGAATTTATTGGGTAAAGTGTCAGTTTTGCAACAAGAAGAAGAAAAATCCAGTACATCTCTTATGTTATAGCGAAGTCGTGTTAAGTTGGAATTTTAGATATTCACTCAAAAGCAAAGTGCTACATATACAATTTTTAACGTTATGCACTTGCATATCTAATGCTGTGAGCTAATCCATTTATTTTTATAGAAGCCCGCCCCTAACCCCGAAAAGTCCGCCCAACGCCACCGCATGCTCTACTGCTCCAACGTCTGCACCCATACCACCAAAAAAACCAGCAAGCCCCCCTTCGACGGAAGTATCCGAAGAAGCGGTTCCTCCTCCACCTCCATTGGTCGTCGAACCGGTGTCGACGACGCCCAGCGTGCCAGGCGGTACCGGCGCCAATTTTGATGCCACGAGAGCAGAAAGACTGAGGAAGATCCGGGAGATGCTGCATCAGAAACCCGGGTTCGGAACAAGGAGGTAAAATTCTTCTTTTGAAATGTACTATTTGGAGTGGCGCAATGGATTCAAGATAAATGAAAATAGTATTTCTATAATAATAATGAAAGTAATACTAATTTGAACTTGAGGGTGAAACGGAGTAAAGTATTTTTTTGTAAAAAAATTTTTTGACGTATCTCGGCGTTTTCAAATCAACCTGTATACAGAGGCATAACAAAACGACAAATAAAACAAGAGAATAAACAACATTTACACTTTGATAAACTCACAGACATTATTCAAACATTTATGTATTGAAAGACCTTCCAAACTATACTCAAAGTGGTTTTGATTTACTATTCCTTGTACTTCTTTTGGAAGGATGTTAAAGATTTTGGGACCAATAATATTTGGCGATTCAATTTCTACTGCCTCATGGGAACTGTGTGTATGTCTTGTTCCGAAATACGTATAACGCTAACTCGTGAATCGCTAGAGCAGATCCGCTGGGATTTTTTTTAAAGAGTTCTAAACAGCTATGGGTGTTACTCACCCTCGCCATTATTCTAACAATTCACTTTTGAGCAATAAAAACATGTTGTGCCGCATGGGGAATAGCCCCAAAAACAAATATCATGTCTGAGTCTGGACTACAGGAGATTGAAGTATATTTCGATCAGCTGACTTTAAGAGAGAACTAAACTCAAGTTTTCAATCAAATAAGAGAGAGAGAGAGAAAGAGAGTTAAGCTGCGAAATCAGGTAGCCGCAATGTATTCTGAAATTTAACTTATCGTCTAGAAAATTAACATCATTTGTGGAGTTCAATGACGCATTTTTATGTTTAATGTCAGATATATCTATCTTCTCTTGTGAGTTACGAAACCTAATTAAATTGGTCTTGCCAGTGTTCAAAAACATCTAATGTTTGGATAACCAATTACCGATCTTTGCAATTACCTCATTGCATCTATCATTTAAGACATATTCTAATTTACTCGAGTCTAATATTGATGCATCAGTGGTGGCCGCAGTGGTAGACTCCTGATCAACCGCCGTGCGCTGCGCGGATTCGAATCCCGTCCCAAGAGAAATTTTTCTCTTGGCTATGGATGTTGTGATTGTCCGTAGGTGATAGACGGTCTCTGTCTGTCGAACGCGGAGGTACCACCCGGCGGATCTCGGAGGCGGGAAAAAATGTATGCATGTTGCATGCCCACATATTCCCTCGCCAGAGTCCGTGTGGCGTCCCCCCTTTTTCCTATTTCCCCCTATAGCCTCACGGCACCCCATGGGTGTTTAGGCCTTTGGCCATCGTGGTAGTTGGAATATAAAAAGCATTATCTGCATATAGTGTGAACAGCGCATAGAGCTTTTGCAACAGAATGTTGTGGTTGACTCGATCAAAGGCCTTACTCAAGTCGCAGAATACCTCAACCGGACACTCACCTGCCTTAATGAATGAAATCAATCTTTCATAAAACGAATGGATTGCTGTTTGTTGTTGACTTTCCAGTAGAGAATTCGTGATGGTTCAGCGAGATGATATGTATCCTCACAAAAAACAGCAGCCAGCGACTGGCATAGTAATGCTCAAAAATTTTTGAGTAGCGCAATTGTACTGTTATTGGTCTGAAATTTCCCATTTCCGATGGATCTCTTTTTTGTAAATCAGTACCACCTTTCTATTCAGAAGCTCTGAAAATTTTCCTAGGCCAATGAGAAATTAACCATGCAACACCTATTTCAATAGAAATCCAAGAAGTTCATCTGGACCAGACGAATTAGCATTATTATTAATGTGTTTTTTCACACGTATGGAATACGTGGCTTGTCGTTACAGTTGTTTCGCTCACATACTACCCCCCCCCCCATTGTTTGTCTTAGCGCTACCAAAAGTGAATCAACAAAAATAAGCATCGATGTACCACAGAGTTCAATTATGGGTCCTTTTTTGTTTCTATTGTATGCTAACGATTTGTCTGGCTTTATACCTGAAGGTGGTCCAGAATATAAGGCTGTGGCGTATGCAAATGACACCAACACCTTGATTACCAGTTCAAACATCAATGAGCTGGCTGCAGTGAGTGACAGTGCATACAATAGAATTACACAGAGAAGACCAGCATTGTGAAATTTGCATTAAGCGACGAACAAGATTTCTGATAATACTAACCGAGCTATTCCATCATCTAACCCAATTAACATGCTAGGAATGATATTTAATTGTTGAATGTCGTGGGAGTTTCTCTATGCAGTAGATTACCAAGGAGTTGTTATGGCTTGAAATTCTTAGCAAAGCATTTTAATAAATGCAATCGCTGACTGCCATATCCGTTATTGTAATCTTAATTGATGAAATAGTTCATTAACTGAAAGAGTTCTACTGTTGCAAAAATATGCTGTTGGAACTATCTAACATTAGTTGGCACCAATCCTGCAGATAATCCTTTAGAACACTAGAGATGATGTCTCTTATAAGTATTTGTATTCATGGGTTGGCTGTGATCTCAAGAGTATGCGTTACTTTGAAGATATTAGACATCACTAGATCCAAAATGCTTTTAATATCGTCGAAATATACCATATATCAAAAATATGTAGATATATGGGTTGTAAGTTCTTTTAATAAGCTCAATGATGCCATTGCGAATCAGTCAAATATAGCTTCTTTGAAAAGAAAACAAACACTTCTTGGTAGACAAATATTTCTACAGCTTGGAGGTGTTTTTTTTTGTTTAGATTTGTGGTTTATACATTTTTAGTCGGTCACCACTGTTGTTTATGACCTTTTCATTCGTTATAGACTTTTCTGTTCTATTCAACAATGAGCATTTTTTTATTATATTGTTATTTAAAAATTCTTGTAAAATAAAAGCGAGAAATCCTCCCACACTACTTTGCGAGGTTATGAGCTGATTTATATAGCATAGAAGCAAGGTCATTTTTTTTCTCATTAGGTTCATCCTATTGGTGTTAAACAAGAGTATATTTTTCAGCCAAAAGGATTAGGCTTTCCAGAAATTCCAGTATTATACAGGCCGATGTAACTGACTGGCTTGTATCTTGAATATGAAATGAAGTAAAATACGTCCATTTCTTTCATCTTAAATTTTTTACTTTTTTTAAAATAGTGTATAATGACGTGCGACGAATACCTAGTTCTTGAGAGCGATGTCTTGTAGACGTCTCAGGGCGCTCCACTACACTTTCACGAACTCTCTCGATAGTCTCCGGAGTAAGAACAGTTCGAACTTGGCCCGACCTTGTTAAGTAGAGCTCCATGATGAATTGGACACATGTGCTTTAAAAAAATACTACGACGCCACCTATTGAAATGCATGTATCAAAAATGGCGCACAATTTAAATCAGTTATTGTACAAAGTATAAAAACTAGTAAATTGCCTTTGGGCTGATCCGCCCTCTCCGATGTAAGGATATTGTGTTCGCTACCACGTGAGTCACTGATTGGTTACCATGCTGTAAGAATCTTCTTGTTTTGTTTAAATCCGCGAGTTCAACTAACTATTCTGGGACATCCTGTATAAATTACTTCAATTTTTCATTTCAGTATCTCTGGTCATTCGTTTCCCATCGTAAGACAATCGTCCATATCCAACGGTAAAGTAGAAGCCATAGCGAAACCCCTGCCTAAGCTACTCACCTTAGAGCTGTTCAACCCAGAAACCGATGATAAGGATAGCGACTCTAGTTGTGTCTCATCGCCGGGTGAGTTAATCCATTTTATATGTTGTTGATCCATGATAAACAGGCAACAGACAAAGTTTCAAATTTCTCTGCTAATTTAAGATACACAAGATCATCATATAATTCCTAGGACTCAGATCTTTCAAGTCTCATAAGGTAGAGTTACATCTTCGTCAAAATTATCGTGAATACGTTGATCACTGTTGAGTCTGATCATTACATTATTTTATCGATAAACATGCATTTTTCAGACTCTGTTGAAAGTGTGATCAGCCTGAATAGCGACAAGAGGTCTCCAAGTCGATCCAAGTTTGAGTTTCCTTCAACAGAACAAGAAGCTAGAAGTACGCATGTTCAAGAAAGGCACCCAGCATCACTAAATACGCACAAACCTCTGACTAGGCTGAATGGAAGAAGTAGGAGAAGGTTTCAAACAGGTACATGATTGCTTACATGCTTATTTCTTAAAACTTAGATATATTTGTATACTGCGTTATTATCAAAGCGCAACATATAACTTTATTGTCTTGATTATTTGTGACTTGCATCAGCACTGTTACTCGTGATCTTGAGTCTTGAAGTTATTGTTTCTGAAATCAAACATTCCCGTCTTTTAGAATAGATGCATTGTGCTTTACAATAATAGTGGTATTATTTTGTAACATCTTTCTTTTTAGATGAATTTCTGAGTGCGTTGGGCAAAGAATACTTGAGAAACAGTGGCAGCGATATGACGCCTCTTTTGTCTTCCGCGGCTACAGGTGACTGGGATGCTGACTGTCAGCGACATTTGACGGATTTTGCTGACAGACTAAGTGAAAAACTGTTACACGAAATCGATCAGTACAGGGTGGGAACTCAAATTGCTGGCGATGAATACGACGATCCTTACATCAGCAGGTATGGTATAGGATGTGAACGTAACGCCACGTTAACTGGTAGTAATGAAAATAAACTGCTTAAAATAATAATAATAATGATGATATCAATAACAACAATATTAATAATAACAAGAATTATTTATTGCCCAACAGAAATTCATTCATTGACATTGACATTACACGTCACTAATAATAGCAAAATTAGATAGCAGGTCAGACGATGGAGAATTTAATCTTAGATTTGTATTGCTGTGATCTAACTTAAGATCCGGGTACGACTTGAACCTGAGTATCTCGATATTGGCAAACCAACTGCATGTGTTTTTCTTCTCAAAATTAATAATAACCGTATTGTACGATGTACCTCAAAGTACAGTATTAGGACCCATTTTATTCAATCTATTTATCAACGATTTGTTCCAAATAAATAGTGCAGGTAAGGTTATCGGTTTTGCGGATGATACAGCTATTCTCTATGAAGGTAACCAGTGGCATACACTAAAAACCAAAATCGAAAATGATTTCAAAACATTCATCAATTTCTTTCCGGAAAGAACTATGATAATTAATTACAACAAAACACACTATATAGCATTTTCTTGTAACGATAGGCTCTTACCACAATTTAAAAAACTTCATACAAGCAGTGGTCTCAAACAGATTCAGTCAGCCAATAATATAAAGTACTTGGGCGTGATTTTGGACAAACACTTAAAATGAAATACCCATACAGAGTACGTTGTGAAGAGACTAGAGATATATTATTCCAAAATTCAGGTACTTCAGAGATATTCTGGATAAGAAATATCGATATAATCTATATTATGCTCTTGTTTTGACTTGGGTAGTTATAGATAATAATTACAAAAAGGTTGATGTAATTCAAAAATTAATTCCTAAAATTGATCCTTATTACTTATTCAAGTCATTCTCTACAGGGTGACTTTGAAGTTGAGTCATTAATTTTCAGATAATGATTGTAGAAGGAAGATAAACCAAATTATGTGTGTAAAAATAAGAAAAATAAAAAAAAAATTTTACCTTGTTTTATAAAGTATCCTCCCGACAAGTATTTCAGTGCGAACCTGTATTTGATCGTGAGGTCCCCTGTGAGGTCTTAAGTCACCTGATTCACGAGCCCGTTGTACTACATTAACAAAGGCACGAGGGGTTGGTTGCACTCGATTGGGAAACCGATCCGCATAAACATGTGCCATTTTTTATATCGTTTGAGCCACGCAACAGACACTATTCACACGCGACTGACACTGACTGTACGTATAACTGAATTGAATAACATAATTGTAAAAACATCGTTCCAAATTCCTTCGCTTTTTTGTTTCCGATGCGATGAACCGATAAGGCGGATTATATCCGTTGTTGCCAACCACGAGCACATGATATTATTGAGACAGGGCGGTACTCAAACTTCCAAAGGGCTATAACTTTGTTACTTTAATTTTACCAGAAAAATGGTAAAGGAAAAAACATTTCTTTTGATCTGATCTACTCACTGTTAAAATAAATGACTCAACTTCGAAGTCTATATATGGATTCTCAACTATTAGATTGCAGACACATTTACTTTTAATGTGGTCTAATACGTTATATTAAGTATTCGAAATACTTGTATCGTACCATTCATAACTACCGAACAAGATTCAATCAAAATTCAATGTGTATTCCACAAACATCAAAAAACACTACACGATTATTGTTTTTCTTGCTACCTAAATTCTATAACTTCATACCAGAGTCATTAAAAGCAATTAAATTAATTAGATCATTTGCAAAGGACCCAAAAAAAGGATCTTACAGCAACCAAGATGCTCCATCCACGGAACTGTAGATATGAAAAATCATTATCAAAATCAATAATATTTTACGTACACTAACATCCATACTTCTACTTCAGTTATAATTGTCTGGATATATCTCCTTACATCCCCATAATAACTCAATTCGCCAAATTATATGTATAGTATTTACGTTTTTCAAACACTGACTGTACTCTTAGTTTTTATTTTTAACAAACCCAGACACAAGTGCAAACTTTTTTGGGAGCTTTATGTTTATTCAGCACGATATGTGATATTTTGTGACAATAAACATTATTATTATTGAAATTCAACTGAGATAATAGATGCATACTATCTATCTTGTTATGCAACATTTTATATAAAAATGTTAAGGAATGAATGCTTCTCAGATCAAGAAGTAACAAGCCAAACCTATAACAGAGATGAACGCCACAAGTGCTCGTTGTACGCCTTGGTACTAACTTGTTCTAAGGAGGTGTTATAAATTATATAAGATGGCTTCCAGACTAAAGATGCATATCCTTCTCTAAAGAGAACATTTCAAGGCATGTCACTGAACGCTTTGCAGTTTCTGACTATAAATCCAGAAAATTTGAATGCATCTGATAAATGTAGGTTGATATGACAGTTAAAGGCTTTCATCAAACCATACAGCCAGATCCTTAAGTTGGTCAACTCTTGAGATATCATTATTCGCAACACTATATTGATGTTCAATTATCTCTTTATCTCTTGAAAATGTTAGAAATTTTCACTTACTAAAGCTTGTTAGCAAGACACCAATCATGGCTAAACCAAGGTTCTGCTATAGAATCCGGCAATCTGAGATGTCATTAATTGCTACGAAGATTGTTTTTGTGAAGCTTCAGAATATTGATTTAAATTGTATCTACGCTATTTGATGATAACATTGTCTTCAGTTTCCAATTATCTCACTCGTAGCTTCATATTCTGGTTCGCATTTTTTTTCTAAACCAGCTAGATTATTCGTCTTTTTACACAACCGACTTCAGTTAACGATTTTTTCTTTTCCCAGGTTGAGCGAAGAATTAAGTGACCTATCAAAACTTAGCGCGGAAATACAGAAACAAAACGAGTACCTGGCAGCTTTGAGTGTTAGTGACAGTCTTTTAGTGAGCGGGGAAGACAATGGTGGGGAAAAGTTTGATGGTGGAAAAAGTAGTGAGGGTGATAGTGGAGTGGGTATTCCTTCTCTTAGAGCCGACGACAGAGGAGCGACGACGGTTGGCGGCTCCATGTCGACGAATGCAAGAAATAAAGGTGGAGGTACTTCGCTATCCTCCGAGTCCTGGGATTCTGACAAAGGTATGCGACAAGTATAATGATTTCAAAATCATTGGATTCTTGAAGGTAAATTTGAAAGTTGAGCTTCTCTACCGCTACTATAGATGTCATAAACACTTTTTTATACAGGGTTTTCCAGAAGTCGACGACAAGCTGGAAACGGGGGATAGGCCAAGTCGTAATAGAGTAATCCGAGAAATATGAAAAAAATCTAAGTCGTGTACTTTTCAAATTATAGGCTTAAGAAAATCAGATTAATAAGATAATCTACACACTGTGACGATCTTTTAGTCCCTATTACTACAAATGGTCTTATGTATCTTATCAGAAATGTTTCTCCAGGTATCAGCAGTAACTGCAGCGTAGATACCGGATCATCCCTGACCTCCATCACAAGGTCGTTGGACTGCGATGTTGCCACTTCATCTGCAGCCACCTATTCCACCACAGCATCAACTGCGTCCCTAACTTCCTGTGGCAGCGACTGGAAACGACCGGTGCCTGTTCAACCCCCAGCGGCTCTGCAGAGGACAGTGGCGTCGTCACAAGAAACTCTGGAGGAGGGGCAACAGGGTCAACAAGCTGTCGGTGGAAGGGGAGGGGAGATTACTTACCATAGGTAAGGATAAAATAAATCTCTTTTTGGTGTTGAGGGTCGCCTACATGTATCTGAGTCTCACGAGTACTAAAAAAACTTTCTGATCAAGTGAACCTGACTTCTAGGTACTTTTTAGCAAAATATAATGCGTAACGGAAACTGCGTCGCGCAGATCCTTCTTTTCAGAGACGTATTACAGTTGAATCGCAAACTGAAATGGAATAAAAATTGGCGTTATATACTAAATTGACTAACATTTATAGACGTATTGGTACCAGCACTGTTCTCACGTAGACTGGTAGAAAAAGTGTAATTTTTACTTTAAACAACGTATACTCATAGATTTAAAGCAAATAAAATCAAGGTGCAGGACAATTAGAAATATGACAATCCAAAAATAGATGATAAAATTTAGATGTGCTATATTATAGAAAGGCACCACTACTGTCGAGTCGATTCGTTCTCCAGAGAGTACTCTTCTCGTCGGCATAGTATTGATAATGGTAATAAAAATGACCGCTACTGACTAGCTACTGCTGAATGAATTTTTAGATTCATTTGAATAGTGGAGAATAAAAACCGTTGCCCAAGATAAATTAAGAATAAACATCAGTAGTCAGACTTAACAATGATTACGATGAGACCGTTCCCTGATACATGCGGAATATGCACATATTCGCTTAGGACTAAAAACTGACACAGTCAAGGTATGAATACGGCTACTACTATAGTCAAATACCAGAATTGATCACAGTAGCAGAAGTCATCGTGCGCCACTGCTTTGACGTGGAACCTTTTGATTACAGCGATGTTCGACAATATTTCAAAAAGAGGCGCCGCATTTTCAAAGGCCTCCGCGTAATAGCAGTGTCGTACGATGAGTTTCGCTACTGTCATCAATTTTGGTATTTTACTACAGTATTAAATTTGTGCTGATATCCCTCATGTGTGTAGTATATCGGGTGCTTCAAATTCGACCATCACCATTGGGATCTCGGATACGGTAATAGATACGAGGTCGCTTAAATGAGGCGAATTTGCGTATGTCCCTCAGAGAGTTTCGAAATTCAGAGTACTTCTGAAGAGAGACGGAAAAAACCGAGTTTTTCTAAAATCATTTTAATTTTTTCCTTGCTTTATTTTTAGTGGGATTTCAAAGTGAGCTACACACGACAATTGTCGGTTTTACTTTCATACAACATGGCATAATTAGAATTTCAATATGACGTTTCGTCTCTCGTCCTCTAGTATCAATTTTATTTTTTGCACAGGTGAATAGAGCTTTTAATTCTGATTCTACAAATGTATGATACGTCATACAGTGACATTGCTAAATCTTAGTCATTAAAAAAACAGAATTTTCTAGGTAGGCCATTAAATTATCAGACATTTGTTTCGCATACTAGATTTATTCCAAAGTAACTTTAATTTTTTCCTGACTTTATGTAAAATGGGATTACAAAATAAACTTATTCTTCTCTATGCTTCGGGGTTTCTTCTTTCAACTTCCACCACTAACTTTGTTTTTTCATATGCACGTTATATTGGAGTTTTTTACATTTAAATGGATATTTCAGTGCTAAATTCAGCGATGTATTTCCTTTGTTGGCCATGAATTTGTTGTCGGGAGGAAAGGAGATATAGTGTGAAAACTGATCTCAAAATGATTAATGGTAATAACAATAATAATCATAAAAAAGCAGAGGTAAGTCATAACAGATATTCAAAATGCTGTCCGTTACTTCGTAGGCAGAGCCTCTGTACATTGTTCGATTTATTACCCTTTTTCTCAGCCTTCCAAACTCTGTTACTATGTTCAATATTATGTCTGGTATACGAAACAAATGACTAAGATAATCTCAAGGCCTACTAGGGAAATTCTGTTTTTCTGGATTAATTGAAGTTTGGCAATGTCAATGTATAACATAAAAATCAATGCAAAAAAGGCGTCTATTGCATGCACACGTGTTCCCTCTCCAGAGTCCGTGTGGCGTTCCCCCTTTCCTGTATCCCCTTATATCCCCACGGTACCCTATGGGTGTTTAGGCCTTAGGCCTTCATGGTAGTTGGAGTATAAAGAAAAAGGAGACACAATATAAAGTTGATGCTGGAGAAGAAACGAAACGTCATATTGAAATTCTAATTATGCCATCTTGTGCAGAAGAAAAAGTAGCAATGGTAATGTGCAATTTATTTTAGCATCCACTATAAAGTCAGAAAAAAATTAAAACGATTGCAACTTCGGTTTTTTCCGTCTCTCGTCGGAAGTACTCTGAATTTCGAAACTTTCTAAGCGGCATTTTGTTAGATACCAGAATACGCAACTTTACCCCTATTTCCGAGATCCCAATGATTGGGGTTGAAGCATCCAGTATGTGCGTGCTCAAATCTTCTCCTTTCAAAACGAGTAGCTTCACGTGTTTTGTTAAATCAGGCTCAGAATTTCATCAAACTGAACAAAAGCTTTTTGTCTCAAGTATTTTAGCATTGTCATGTTATATCACTTTGGCAATTCGTCTTCAATGTTCCCAATTGCTCGCAGGTACTACCACGTGTTCAGGGAAGGCGAATTGGACCAACTAATCGAGAAGTACGTGGAGAACCTGCACGTCATCTCGTCGTACTACGACCATGCCAGTTGGTGCATAGTCGCTGAGAAGGTCCAGGTATGGACCATCTGACCGCCAACCAAACTCACTAGTTCACCGTTCGTCGTCACTACGCACCACAATGTACATAATATACACGTATTATTATTACTATAGCCAGCGAACATGGACACTATGTATGTCAGGTTATTGTAGTTATTATATAATTCTCCTGAATTCACATGTTCCCTCCTCCTGTTCCTGAATCCTGTCCATTCATTCCATTAGGACTGTAGATCATCTCTTCAGTTATTTAAGACAGAAAGAATCGACAATGCTTGCTACGATTTTTTCTAAAAGGGTCAAACAGTCTCTTTAAACAGCCAAAATAGAAATAACAAATCAAGCAGAGGTCTAAGTAGCTGGTTTTTAATGTAGATTCTCTGATACAACAGTAGGTCAAAGAGATCATCAATGATAAAGTGAGACCACCAGATAAGTTTAAAAATTACATTCCTTTCGTTTGCAGCTCTTTCGATATGTAAACAATATGGTGAGTTCAGTCTTGACTAGAGGTGGAGAGAAGGGGGATTATATGGAAAAAAGTCATCAATATGCCACCGCTGTGCTGCTGTGATCCCATGTAGATTTTGACCACCAGTAGTACAATTGACAGTGCATTTGACTGAGTGACCTTGATTTTCTTTATATATTTCCCAAACCGAACCAAACAAAAGCGTATTTTGTAGTATAATCATCACTCATCAAGTATCGATTAAATCTGATTCGAATCGATAATCGTTGCTAAACTGCTGTTTTGGTCGCCGCTCTACTCCCGTACGGTGATGACATTTTTATAAGTCTCTATGTTGCCAAGAACACATCCTAGCTTTTTACAACTATTATAATTTCGTGAACAATTTTTTTCATTATAAAGAGATGAGCTACAGTCCTATACCGATCCTAATATAATCAGATATACCTGCAACTTCCATGCTTGGTACGCAAACATCTTTAACACTTTAACGAATAACTGATGATGAACATTCAATATCGATTCAAATGAATTCATAAATGTAGAGTGGTTAGAATATCCGTATTTTGCTACACGCAAGAATCTCTACCGTTTGTTCAGGTAGATTTGAAGTGAACGAACTTTTCCATGCTTTTTTCTCAAGGAATGACTTTAGTGACAATGGTGGAGAAGGTCAAGGATTTCTGCCTACCTTGCATGGATAGAAATAATAATAGACCAAACAATAGAGAGAAAGGGGAAATAACTTCAATGGATGTTTCGTAATCTAAATTGTCAACGTGCAATACAACAGCAAATTCTCGTTCTCCAAGCTTTTCATAACATCCAAGCACTGCAAAAACAATGCTTATCGAATAAGTGATGGAAATGAATATACCCAGCCAACAAATGTAATACGATGACAACGAAAAATCTCTACTGTTTGGTTGTCAACGAAAAAAAGACCAATGCAGATTAAGGGTTGGAAAAACTCGTACTCTCATTAGTGTTTTTGATAGACCGTTTTTGTTAGACAAAATCAATTCTCGGAAGATGTATATCTTTATGACGCACAAAGATTTTCAAGCCATAGCTTTACAGTTAATTATAGTATAATATAATCATATGGAAATTATACATCACCATCTGCTATTGGTAGAAGTCATGTAAAATTACTCTTCATAATACGCACTGCACTGTTCTGAAAAAATGATGTGCGCGCCAGAAGCAAACCTCAGATATATCTAGGGTTGTAGGCCCATTAAGTGGCCCTCTCCAAATATACAAGAATTATTTGAAGAGCTCTAGGCCTGACCCAGATATAGCGCTCGACCGCTATCGATGAAACTTGATGATTTCTACATAGGTACTAATACAATTTGTCGATATGAATAGTTTTAACTTGTTCTCTCAAGCCGTTTGCCTAAACGAACTTTTGAACTGAACACTGCGTGATTTTTATTAAGCCGGAATTTCATGCTAACAAAAATTTCATCGTCTTTGATGGACTAACTCATAAGAAAACTCTTTCGAAGTCAGAAAAAGTTTACGGGGACTCTGCTATCTCGATACCAACTCTTAAAGAGTACGTAGTGCGTTGATTCCATCTATATGATCCACGTGAAGGGCAGCCAACAATCGTAACCATCGACAAGGTCACGAAATCGTGTTGGATGATAGGCATGTGAAGGCAAGTAAGATAGCTGAGACCGTGGAAAGGGTACGAAGCATCTTGCACAAAGAACTGGTGGGATTTTATACGGTAACTTATTACCATGGATAAGAGATGGGTCTACCACTAAACACCAAAAACAAGCCGAAGCAGTGAACTGGAACCGGTGGTTCAGCGGCAAAGAAGAGAAGTCGATTGCACCTGCCAAAAAAGGTCATGGTCAGCATGTTTTGGGATACAAAAGGGATTCTGTTACTTGATTACCTCTAAAACTCACTTTTCTTAACGAAGACAAAGATCTTTTTTGATCATGACAATACATCTGCTCAAAAAGATGGTGTTGATGCTGGAAAAACTACAGAGTTTGTAGTACAATTCGCTCGCCGTTCTCTTGACTTCACACCCCAATTCTTCGATCCGTCTCCAGTCTTCCTGAAAAGTGCTTTGGGTAGCGATGAAGGAGTTGTTAGGGCCGGAGATGAAGATTTTCTAGTCTTCTACTTCCAAGAAGGAATCTTAGTGTTGAAGAACGTTGTACCAACTGTGTTGGAGATGAAGGGCATTATTTAAAAAATCAAATCAATCTTAAGCTTAAAACCGCAGACTTCAATTGTTAAGCCCACAACTTTTTATTCTACACTTGTATTGGAGGAATATCACAAGAATATATTTGAAATGGAGTATAGACAAGTACAAAACTGGTAGATGCATTTTTTACTTACCGTATCAGCAGTGACGTGCGATACATACAATTAGCTAATCTCTTTTTCAATTTGGTACTTGACTAAAGTGTAGTTACTTATATCAAGAGAAGAAACTTCGTGGAATGGCTATATAATCTGCCTTTGGAGTCATCTGCATTATACAGGTAGTAGGGAAGTCGACCGTAATGTTTTTGTTACATCATCGCGTACTGATACGATACGATAAAAACTAGCCACTAGTCTCGAAAAATTTGCTGCTAAGCATTAAAATACGTAAGATCTGACTAGTTTTGAACATTCAGCACCAGTGCGCAATGTAACCAAAAATTTGCGGTTGGCTCTTGGACTATTAGAGGCTTACTTGCCAAACTACCATAAAATATTTATAAAACGCTACATTTGTACTTAGCAGAGTGGAGTTTAGCTCATTTCACAGTATTTGGTGATTACGTCTAAAAGTCATACGAAATAATGTTTCAATTTCAAGCTGACGTACTTCTTTTATTACTAGATTAAGTCGTGAATGGCCCTAAAAATTAAATCGTTATGTTTTGAGAATAGCTTCTCTAGTGCAAAGTGTGATTTATAATTGTATTGAATGAAACATACATTTTATAGGTTGAGAATGGATGACAAATATTCTCATCAAAAGTAAATTAGAATAAAAGATGCGTTCACTACAACTGCTGGTAAATAAAGAGGATAACAAATATGGCAACGCCGCATTTATTTCCGAGTAAATGAGAACAGTCGTTCACGCGATCAGCTGTTTTGTGGACGCCATGCTTTTGGAGTCATCTCTTATACCTCTCTAATTTTATTCACCCTGTCTAACTGCCTTCTCTTTATATAACTACTCTATGATTTGAATATAATTCGTCTACAGAACTAACGCTCAACCTGCATCAGCAGGAGGTAGTAAACAGTCCTTCAGAGTTAAAACAAACTATAAACAACATATTTTATCCTTATGCCCTAGATGAGGTTTGATTTCTGGCATGTTACTGTATGACTTTTCATATTCGTAGAACCTGTAGATATGAACAGTATGAAGCGTTCAACGATCTAAAGAGTATGGAAAAAAGAAGATATTTTGTAGCCTAGAAACTATATTGTAAATAGTGAAGTAGTGTTAACATATGGTTTTGTAGAGCTTAGTCTTACTTTTCAGTTAGTTATTCAGATGGTGAGATATTTCCATGAAAATAAGCTATAGATATGAGACTCTCTAGATAGAATAATTGACCAACTTACTAAAAATCATGTTGATAGCATGAGCTATTAGGGAAGGGTAAAGATTATCTATGGACTGTAGAATTATCAAGCTACACTGTAGAGCATTGCAACTTTCAAACTATGTTTCTTCTCAGAGATTACAACCAACGATTTTAGAACCACAGTGCAAGTTCTGAAGCTCCATGTTTCACTGATCGCCGAGTAAAGTACAGATGTAGGATTAAATGCTTACTAACATGTCGGTCGCCTCAGTGAAAAGTTAGTAAATCTTCGGTTTTATCTGACATGTTTTTCGTTAGTGACTTCCTCATTTCTGCTAGTGATATAGTAGCGAAATACAAACAGTCTATGCTACATGAAAAAATTTAGTGTTTTGCTGATGTAGTTCGATAACTTGCTGTGCTATGAAAGTACGTCACATTAACGGAAAGCGATTGGTATCAACAAGACTGCATGAAAAACTCGGTTTAATCGGAAGAACATATCCGGTAGTTAGGAATACGTCTTAACAAATTACTACAATTATCAAAATGTAAATACCTGCGTATAGCTAGTCACTTAGCATTTTCCAACCATTATTCTGACAATAACGGTTATTAGGGAGGATTGGGTACTACAAAATCGAAGATATCGATCACAAAACGGTGTTAACAGTTTTCTCAGTTATATGAATTTAATATCTATGAAAGTTAGCTACTTACTCTATGATCTTCGAGGAATAATTATTAGTCCAACAACAAGAAGATTTATCAAAATTTTGCACTACAATTGATTCACATGAGTTTGAAAATGGGATGCTCAGATTTTTTAGTCTCAATCTTACCCTAATTGTAGATATAACTGCTAATTCTTAATGGCCTGCATTATAGCATTGAACTGCTACATCTTTACAATTTAAACAACAATATTTAGTATCGTCTATAGTAGTTTGAAGTTTATTTTCCATTTCCTTGTACTCATATCGATGAGTTGCCTAGTTCTCCATTTAAATGGAACATAAGCATCTACTTAGGTTATCAGGTTAAAACACCGCAGTTTCTATTATATGTGAATTTTGCAAAAAAAAAGAAAGAGACACACTTCAAAAACCACACGAAAAATATTCGTTCAAGCAGAACTTGAAGGATATTTACATTGTTCTCTATCACGGATATCTGTTGCTTTACGGTGAGTTGTGATATTCTCTTTCATCTTGGAACTAGTAACTAAACTACAGTCGTTTTCAGGAAGCCCTCCTCCAAACTTATCTTTTAAGCCGGTGAAGTTAGCATGTTTGAAACTGGGCTGATGAAACTGACGCATGCATGCCATATTTTAACGAAAATTTCAAACCGGCGACGAGATCTTCTAATATTTTTCTAAATGGAATTGCCAGTCAGGTGATAACTTATTTTGTAACTCCTTATGAATACTTCATGGAATATTTTTGTATATTAAATAATGATTTTCATTATTTCTCAAAATCGCTGACTAACAGGCTGTCAAAGTTTTACACTTCTGTACTGGGTAGACCAATAATATAGGACGTCGCCTGTATCTCGGTAACTGCTCAACCTAGAGCTATCGGTTAAAAAATTGCTGGACATTGTTCCTTTAATTTCAAATATTCAAATGTTATTATTTTACAAAAAATAACATGATCATTAAATAACCTTATCGAGTTGATCGTTCAATTTTCGAACCTTTCTGTTTATGTCATTTTTCTAAAAAGGCACATATCTTCTGTTTGGCTGCACGGATTTTGATGATACTGGTTTCGTTTGAAATAGTGTTCACCTGCACTCCTAATGAGTATCAGATTAGTTCAGTTTGTAGAATGTCATGACATGGCACACTAGACTTTATTAATACTCTAATACCCTCTTTTAAACGAAATAGCTGCTGCCATGTTACAATACTTGTAACATATATCATAATTCACACTCTTAGTGAATCTAGATAGGACAAATAGGTAGAAAGCACCCTTTTTTATGAATAGCTCATATTGTAACGCCAGCTAACAAAACATTTAAGGTATATATTGATGAAAAGTCAACCTCCCTAGCTGTTACCAAAAAGCGTAAACATAAGTTTTAAAGTCAAATATCTTAAAATCGTAACTTATTAGTACAATTTACCCAACTATTAATAGCGTTAGTCCTTTGTCCTATCCAGTAGTACTAGAAAATTGTATATTGATCTGTGGTTTTAACCATTTTATAAGCATCTTCCGATCAGTATAAAAAAATCATAGCGTTTCATTTGAAATTTTCGAAAAATTCTTACACATACACAAAGCGGCCACAAACTGAACTAACCTTACGAGATTGAGCATTCCAATCCAAACCAATCAACCATCAAAGTCGGTGGAGCCATACAGAAGTTATGTGACTTTTTCTGAAATGTTGTTTAGCCCTTCCCGACCCCAAACTAACCAAAATATAAAAAAGTTGAGAAATGATCGGTTAACACGAAAATTATTACGATAATGATTATTTTAATTATGAATAGCGTTATCTAGCAGCCATTTTAGGAAGTTGAAAATAATTTCCAGCAATCTCTCTTGTCCACTATTATCATAAAAATTTTCAAGTGATTTTCGTTTGGCGGTTGCAGAGATATAGCTAAAAAGTGTTCCAAAGCGGCGCACAGGCTGCGTATACAAATTTTCATTTTGACGCTAATATTTAGTATTTATGCATCAATTTCATTATCTCGAATTTTGGCTTGTTAACTCCGCCAAAAAGTCAGTAGGAGGTAGAATGGGGGGCTTTTTGGAAAGCACTGTATGCATGTTTCTTTCCAGTTACTTAGGAGTGTTCTTCATGGATGTCTGAACAACTGATCGATAAGAGTACGTACATGTTC